CTCTCTCTCTCTCTCTCTCTCTCTCTCTCTCTCTCTCTGTCCTTCCTCTCCCTTTTCTTCTTACAACATTTTACATGGCAAGGTTTTGGGCTAATGACCAAGGAAAGACAAAAGTTACATGCATCCCTTGTGATGAAAAATCGCATCCTCACAGGAAGGCTGAGAACCCAAAGGGAAAGAAAAGGGGATGATGAAGGGAACTCCCAAGACAGCCTCCAGAGTCTCACTGGGCCTGGGGTTTCCTGGACGTCTTCCACTCCGTGGCTCGAAGCTTTTCTCGGGAGATTTTCCCTGTAACGGTCTTGGGTAGGTCCAAGACAAACTCCAGCTGTTGGAAAAAATTAGATGACAGTGGGGTTGGATTTTTCAGAAGAGCCTCTGGGGGTGAAGGGAAGGTTTTAAGTCTGGAGGCTCTGGATGAGGAAGGATGGAAGCCTTAGAAAGTGCCTGGGACAGGGACCAGAAGAGGCCAGCTAAAGCCGGGCATAAAAGTCTAATGTACTCATCTTTAACATGCTCTTGGACAGAGGAGAAACAACAAAATGCACATGACAATGAGCTCTGACATCTGGCCTTATAGATTTCAGTCCCCACTGTACCTGGTTTTGGACAAATACTTAGCTTTTCTATGCCTCAGTTCCCCCACAAAGTAAACGACAATAATCACAACTCAATAGGTTGATGTGGGGCTTGAACAAGAGTACGAGTGCTGAGTTTCCCACAAGGCAGAAGCATTCACAAGTGTTAACTATGTTTATTTATCTGGACTAGAGAGAGTAGACAGCTATAAGTTAGCTCAGTTGAATCTCATTTCAGTTGAGTCTCAATCTCAGTAGTTGAATTTCATTTCAGCAATTTCCACTGATAAGCCTGTGTCCAAACTACAAAATCTTATGAATTTCACTATCCTCACCTGTTATAAGAAATGTCTGAAGTGGAGCTCTACCTCCCATTTCTGAAATCCCTGCATTCTAAGGGACAGATGAAGTTATTTCACTGAGGCTTCTAGCTATACGGCTCAGTTGGCCATGGATTTGGCCCATGAGTAGATTTTGGGGGTTTAATAAAAATAATGATAGGGATATTGATATAGAAAATGATGTTCTAAGTAGCTGATATGAGAGTTTCTCCTTAAGGGCTTAGCAAACTATGGCCTGTGAGCAAAACACAGTTTGCACCCTATTCTTGTAAATAGTTTAATTGAAACATAGTCACACTTACTGATTTGGACACAGCTGTCTCTCCTTATCTACAGCTTTGATTTCTGTGGTCAACTATGATTTGAAAATATTAAATGGGGAATTTCAGAAGTAACTCATAAGTTTAAATTCATACTATAGATTGTTATAACTGCCTTACATTATTATTAGCTTCTTATTATCTCTAAATTATAAATTAAACTTTACCTTAGCTATGTATGTATAGGAAAAAATATAGTACTGTATATGTGGGATTTGGGAATCCACTGGGAGGCTTTGCATAGCTCCCTTGTGGATAAGGGTGGATTATTGTATTGTCTCTGGCTGCTCTGGCATTAAAAGAGCCACCTTGACTATATGATCTAAAATATGAACCATTTGGGCCCTGTAGGGGACAGAGAGTAGAAAGAAGCCACAGGGGAGACCCAGGTTTTAAGCTACTCAGGCATCAGGAAGAAGGGACCAGAGGTGGGTAAGGTTGGTGGAAGGAGGGGAAAGGTAAATGAACTTGCTGCCTGGGAATTCTAGAGGAAAGACTTGTGAAAAAAGAGTGTCTCAGCACTTGAGCAACGCCCAAACTGCACACTATGCGGTAGGGTTCCTCACTGGACCTTCCAAAATAATCAGTTACAACTCAAAAGTCCTATGCTTGGTGTGACAGAATTTCTGGTCTCCTTTGTCAAATATTTATTAATTATTCATTGTGTTCCTATTATTCTTCTGTATGCCAGACACCTTACAAATACCTACTCATTCTTTTTTGTTTGTTTCATATTTTTAGTACCGGGGATTGAACTCAGGACCACAATTGTGCTTGCGAGGCAGGCTGTGGCACCACTGAGCTAAATGCCTAGCTTAAGTCATTCTTAACAACCTGTGAAGGGCTATTATCCCTATTTCACAAACAAAGAACAGAGAAGTTACTGAGTCACCAAATGGTGGAAGTGGACTTTGAACCTAGTGGTGTGATTTCTGAGCCTGTGTTACACCGCCTTCCCCTCAGTGTGAGGCTGAAAGTCCTCAAGGTGGACTCTGATATACAGGTGAGACACAGCAAGGATGAAGGACTCATGACTCATCACCGCACGCTCTTGGAATTGCCTCAGCTAAGGGTGCCGAGGGTCACCGCCCCTTCCTAGGGCAGCCGGCATCTTTGTCTGATCTACCTGGGACAATAGCTAGGCTTCTTCTCCTCCTCATTCTGACTCAGGACAGCTCCTAAAGGCCCCAGTTTCAGAGCTCCCCACCGGGCTGAGTGAGGTCCTCACTGGGACTGAATCACAGGGCAACCTCAACTTCTGCCTGGCCCTTCCCCACCCTTCCCAGGTGCTGACCCCCAGCACTTCGTTACCATGCTAACTTCCTCCCCTGGGGAATGTTTCTCAGGAACTCAGTTGAGACAAGTAGACTGCTCTAAGGAAAGGCTAGTGGGCAGCCCAACCATTTAGGAATCTAAGAGGCCTTCAGCTTGCTGTGGTTGCTTTAGCCTCCTACTTCAGACTCAAAACATACTTCTTTTCTCTTTCCCAGGAACAAGCGCTTATGTTATACTCAAATCCAAAAACTGGGTTCTCCTACCATATCACCTTCCACACCTCAGTTCCCACCCCAGAGGAAAAATAAGTCTATTACAGTCAATGCTTTTTGCCTTTTCTGGTAAGAGCACTTCAATCTTTCTGTGAGGAGCTACCTCTTGCTCACTCAGTCCACATCTTGGGCAGCCCTCTATTTCCCATACTTTCCGCAATTTCAGCAAGGGTGACCACATGACCTGGAATTGGCCAATTAGAGGATCCCATTTTCCTGGTTACATGATTGGTTCAGTGATGGGCACATGACTTTAGTTCGTCCAATAAGAATCAACCCAAACACTTTTGCTGGGGTATTTGGGTAAATACATGGGCTTTTTCTAGTGGACTGTACAAAACTGCTAACAATGTGTATTTGGAGCTGCTGGAACCTCAGTGGGAGAGAATTACAAGTCATGAAGCCAGTACAGAAGAAGGAAAGTCAAGGTGTGAAAGAGACATCTCTGTTCATGTCATACAAAGGCCAAGGGCCAGCCTCAGTGCAAGCTTGTCAGTTGTGTGAGCAATGTATTTCAAACCAGATTTTTGTCATTCTCAAATGAGAGCTGTATAATCCTAAATAGTGTAGCAAGATGCCTAGGTAGAGTGTGAGAAAAGCCAGGTTTCACCTAGAACTTGCTCTCATGACAGCCTTCAACTTTTAATTCAGAGTCAAAGCTGACATGCTTAGTCAGGCTTCAAGGCAGTTGTTGAGCTGGGTGTAGCAGCCCATGGCTGTTATCCCAACAGTCTGGGAGGCTGAGGCAGAAGAATCTCAAATTTGAGCCCCATCTGGGCGATTTAGTGATTTAGCAAGACCTTGTTTTAAAATAAAAAATAAAAAAAGGATGGGACTTAGCTCAGTGAGAAGGCCCTGGCTTCAATTCTTAGTACCAGAAAAAAATAAAAATAAATAAATAAAAAGCAGTTGTAAGATTATCTTTCGGGTCTTCTTGGTCATGGTCAGGAAGCACTTTGGAATTATTGGCCTTGGTTTTAGGCTAAAGAAGAGAAACATGACAGGAGATCATCTCTCCTTCCCCGTGAGCGGCAGTGGATGTGGCAGCCCAGTGGCCTTACCTTCCTGGGGTACTTGTATGGGGCTGTCACTGACTTCACATGCTGCTGCAGTTCCCTGGTGAGCTGGTCCTTGTCATGGGACAGGAATTGTGGCGTCAGCACCACAAAGGCCTTCACCACCTACAGTGGGATGTTAGGGGCCAGGGAGAGAGGATTGGAGAACTTCGTCACCTTCTGGGAAACTGCAGAATCAGCACGGAAATGTCCTCCACAGCCACCATCTCTCCGTCCCCTCAACTGGACCTCCCATACTGGGCTAAGGGGAAAGAAAAGACTGGGGACAGCTCTCTCTCTCAAGACATTTATGGGAGAGAAGGTAGAATTGTAGGAGCAGGCCAGGCTCAAGCCCTAGGGACAAAAAGCCTAAAGGGGAGAAAGTAGGTACAGGAAGAGAAGAGAGAGTAAGATATGACCCTAAATGTCTTGTTTCCCTTATCCAAACTTCAGATTGCCCATCTTTATAATGGGTATAGAGTTGTCATATTTTATTTCACAGCAAATGAAATAAAATCATAGGCAGCAGGGTTTAGCTTAAAGCTCAGTAGGTTTCCCTTTGCCCTGCCTGCCCAGTGGCTCCCACATGACCTACCCCATACTGGTGAGATGCAGGGCACTGCCAGATTCATGCCTTGTTGCACTGTGCTGGGAAGTTGGCTCCTACCTCCCGCCACGGCCTTCTCCACACATACACTAAGCCAGGGGTGGCGAACCTTCTAGATCTTTCAATGACAACAAGTAGCTCACCACGGCACGCATGCCATAGGTTGGCCACCACTGCACTGAGCTCTGTTAGACTCCCCTGGCATCTGTTCATATAGTCCTGTATTATAGGAGTTGGTCTCCCTGCGAACCTCAGGGCTCAGGGGCTCTGTGCCTTACGTCAAATCCCTTCTCTGTTCTCCAGGGCAGGAATCAGATTCAGACCCAAGCAGCAGGACAGAATCTCTGCAGACCAAAGTCACAGATCTTAAATGGTGCTGAGGACATGCTAGGCCTTGTCCCAGGAACTTTGCAAATCTTAACGAGTCTAATACTTGCAACAGCCCCTCATCCTACAGACGGGGGTACTAAGGAGCAGAGGCCAAGAAGCTCGCCTGAAGTCACAGCTGCAAGTGGCAGGGTCTACACCTAGGCCTTGGTTGTCCAGCCCCCGTGTGTGTCTTAACTGTCTCCCCTGGCTGCTGAATCTGCTCACCTCTCCCCGCACGGGGTCGGGGCTGCTGACCACTGCCACCTCGGCCACTGCGGGGTGTTCTGTCAGTGCGTTCTCCACCTCTGAGGGCCCGATCCGGTACCTGCAAAGAAGTCGTCCTTCAGAAAAGACACCCATGCCGGGGCCGCCCCCAGGGTACACAGTGACTCACAGCGAAGGTCCAGAGTCCCAGCCAGAACCACGCTCACCCGCTGGAGTTGATGATGTCATCAGCCCGTCCCAGGAACTGGAAATATCCATCTTGGTCCTTTATTCCCCGGTCTCCTAGGAGCCAAAAATCCCCTCGAATGTTGGCCGCTGTCTTCTTGGGATTGTCCTGGTGACCACAGGAAGATAAATCACTGCCCATTGAAAGCCCAGATCCCCTGCCCCAGGGCCACCACGAACAGCGTGTGGGTTGTACAGTTTGCAAACTGAGCCACCGAACGTGGTGAACCCACCCTACACTTGGCAACCTTAGGTCCCAGGTCAAACTGGATCTTTCTTCTTTATTCAGCCATTCCACCTAAGGCTTCTTGTTCAAACCCCTGGCTGTTGTCTGATGGATGATTCCGATGTATCCGTTCATCTGTGCTCTGGGCATTTCCCCAAACTGATTCTGTTCCATGACACGTTCAGGGCTGTCAGGCTGACTGTGTACTCTGTCCTGTCTTCTTTATTAGACACTCCAGAGACAGACTGGCAACCCTGCAGGTCCCCACCCGTTGTGTGCTCCTCTACAAAGCCTGGGCCCTCCATTCAGCGGAGGCCCCCAGCTGGGCCTGCTAGAAAGGCTGCCCCTTGTCTGTGCCTTCCTGGGGCCTGGCCTCCCGACTGTATGCTCAGTGACTGCATTAGAGGGCGTCCTGGGGACATCTTAGCCTGGCCCCCTCCCTGGGAATGGAAGGCTAATGAAGACCAGAGAGGGCAAGAGGCTTGTCTAAGGCCAAACAGTGACTGCAGGCAGTAGAGCTAAGACCGGAAGCCAGCTTGCTTCACCACTCACTTAGCCTTCTTTTCCACCGTCACTGTGCAGCCACCACTGGTACTGGCTTAGTGGCTTTAAGTTGCTCTGTCCCTTGCCTGAGTCTGTTTCCTTCTCTGTCAAGTGGGGAAAATCTGTACCTAGCTCCCTTACTAACAAGTGAGGACAGACTGACACAGCACACAGAAAATGCCTGGAGAAGTGCTCTGTGTGGTTGGCCCTGACTGCAGAGCCTCCGAACAACAATTTGGATGGATTGGAATCTTTTTTTTTCTTTTGTACCAGGAATCAAACTCCGGTCCTTGTGCTTGCGAGGCAGGCGGCGGAACCACTGAGCTAAATCCCCGGTGGGATCTTTTATTTAACACATTTGGATGCAGCAAACACTAAGGCCTCACAGTATCGGTGTCGTCACACATCTATAGTTGTTGCTCAATTTACAGATGAGGGAATGAGGCACAAGAGGTCAGTAACTCACCCCAGACCACCCAGGAAATGGTGAGCGGAGTCTGAAATTGGGCACAGTGGCTATGAAGGGTCCACAGGGTGGCCGTGAGTTTAATGTTTGTGAGGTGCTTCCGGACCGTGCTTGTTTTGAAGTACATATAAGATAAATGGCAGAAACTGCTATTACTGGACTTACTGTACTTATTCTTTTATCAGTTAATTACCTTGGGGGTCAGAAGGCGCATGTGTGGGGTCTACCTGCCACTTCCAAAGAGCCACAGGTGTGAGTGAGTCTTGGCGTTTCTGGCTTTGCCATTCTTACCTGCTCAGTAGGTTGGCGACTCAAGGATCATCTATACGTGCGTAGTATGAGTGAAAAGCACGGTGAATGTTTCAATTAATAGAGGTTTATTACAGTGAAAGACACATGGCCGTGAATTTCCTGCAGAGCCATCCCCCTCACTTTGAACCCACTTACCCCTTCACGCTTGCCACTTTCTGGAGCAGCTCCGAAAGTCTCCTTTCGTATGTGTCTTTACAAGGTGTGATTCACCACTGTGGTGAATGCTGCTGCCCAGTGCCATCCAACAGGAAGGCAGCCTAGTAAAAATATTAGTGGGTCCTTCTTCCACTTAGGCACTGGATCTGGCACTGTGTAATTTCCACCTCTTCCCCAAAGTCAAAATAAGCATGAAAGGTAAAAATTTTGAATTAATTCAGAACATCAAGGCGGCCGTGTCAGCACAACTAAAGACACGAAAGAGGAGTTCCAGAACTGGTTCAGAAACTGGCAGGAATGGTGGATACGTGTATTTAAAGCAAGGAGGAGTATTTTCAGCGGCATTAATGTGCCTTTCACTGCAACACAATTTTAAAATGTAAACATTCACTGTGTACTTGATTATACCCCAAGCTTCCCAGGGGTCTGGAGACCGGACGCCTCCAGCAGCCAGTCTTCACTCCTGTGTCAAATAAGTGGCCCTTCTTGGACACTGGGTACTCTGTTCCCAAGTGTGGCCAGTGCCTCTTGGGAGGCTCAGGACTTTGGGAACCCCTCACCCCATTTGGCGCCTGCCATGCCCACAGGGAACAGGGGTCAGGTTCTCACCACGTAGCCAGAGAAGATGCCCACAGGCTTGACGGGCTTGACCCGGATGGCTATGTCTCCTTCTGTGCCCGGGGGCAGGACTCTGCCCTCATCATCTATGACCTGAGGAAGAAGCACATGGGGAGAGTGAGCCACAGAACAGGAGAGGCGGTGTGAGAGAGCCGAGCTGGCCAAATGGAACATCTGTCCCTCTAGAGGAGACTGTGAACAGGAGCCAGGAGCCAGGGAAAGCGCAGAGGGTTAATTCACTGCTCTGGTCCACTGCTGGGGTCCAATGGGGAAGCCCCTTATGGAGACTGGACCAGATGGGCCTGGGGAGGTACTTGGTTTTTTTTTTCTTTTTATTGAGTTTATTAGTACATTCTAGGTATACAGTACAGTTACATTCATCCCTGGGACCTTGTACCTTTACATGACAGGTCTTGGTTCTCATTTTTTCCCCCTGTCCCTGCCCTCCCTTCACCCTCCTCTCCCTCCATTTACACTTTATTTTCATATTTTTTCTTTTCCCTTATTCCGTTTCCCCTACCCTTCCCACTTCCCCTATACCTTTAGCCCTTTTCTTCCTATTTCACATTGTTAATTATCTCATTATGATCTTGTGTACTATTATAGTTTTTCACACCAGAGAAACTATTCGGTATTTACACATGTGTGACTTATGTATTTCACTTGGGAGTATATCCTCAATATGTATCCATTTTCCTATGACTGACTCTAACTCCTCATTCTTTATGGCTGAGTAGTATTCCATTTTATAGAAAAACCACATCTTCTTTATCCAGTTTCCAACTGTTGGGCCAATGGGCTGTTTAAAAGTTTTAGCTATTACAAACTGTGCCACTATAAACGTAGGTGCGAATGTATCACTGTGATATGATTCTTTTAATTCTTTTGGAAAGATACCCAGAAGAGGGATGGCTGGGTCAAATGGAACCTCCAGTCCAAGCTCTCTGAGGTATCTCCATATTGATTTCCATAGTGGTTGCACCAGTCTGCACTCCCACGAACAATGGAGAAGGGTTCCTTTCTCCTCACAACCCCGCCAATATTTGTTATTGGTTGATTTCTTGAGAGCAGCCATTCTCTGTGGGGTGAGGTGGAATCTCAGTGTTGTTTTCATCTGCATCTCTCGAATGCTGGGGAGGTACTTCTGCCTCTAGAAGCTTTGAAGGGATAAGTACCTCCCCCCTGTGGCCCACTTCACCTGCGGACTTGAAAATCAGAAAGATCCAGAGGCACGATCTGTGGTCTTACTGTTTGACCTTGAACTACTTAAGCTCACTCTCTCTCTCTCTCTCTCTCTCTCTGTTTGTAAAACAGAGCTTCTGGCAGCTGATTTCACAGGCTTTTTACAGCAGCGACAGGATTCTACAAGGCGGTTGTGTAAAATGGCTGTGAGAGTGAGCAGGGTGTGACAGATAACTGACAAGAGGTTGGGCTTGGGAGCCACCGGGAGGATTAGTAAAGCACCCTGATGGGCGTGTCCGAAGGGATGGGCAGGCGTGGCCTCCGCATCTGGCCCTGGCCCTTTTCTCTCTAGTGCGGTTCCCTCCACTCTGCTCCTGCGCCACGCCCTTCCGCCGTGATGCTCCTGCTGGGGACCTGGCTGACCATGAACTCATAAACCTCTCCTCCTTTGGCTTGCGGTGGCAGGTATTTGGTCACATCGAAGGGAAAGGTGACCGATACACAGAGCGACAGATGATGTCATGATTCTGAACAGAGTGTCGATGAACGATCACACTTCTGCTGCAGAAGGACACGCATCATCGTAGATGCACAAACACAAATTTTAGTTCTTGGGATTCGGTCCAAAGAAATAACAAGGAAGGGAACAGAGCTTTAACCAGTGAAAATTTGAACTCCATCCATCAGCTTAAACAACCACTTAAAGACCAGTGGAGTCACCCTGCTTACTACTGTTTAGTCATTCAAATTCATGCCGTGCATTGGCACTGATCCACCTGGAAAGGTGGCGCCCAAGGTTATCAAATAAGATATGCGAGTTACAAAATGTCATGTTAAGACACAGCCATATTGTTGTTTTTAAAGCGTATATATCTAGCCAATTTGTTACATAAGCATAGCGCTTCTCTCTGGATGATAAGAATATAGTTTCCCCCTTTCCTTTCTTTCCTCCTCCCTCCCTGGTTTCCTTCTAACCTCCTTCTGCCTTTAAAAATAATTGACTATCTCTACTTTCCATTATTCTAATTCAACAAACAATGAAATGCATGAATGACTAGCAATTGGTGTTTTCTCTCTTTCCGCCTGCTGTCTGGCGCTCCCAACAGACCTGCACATCATAGTGGGGAATGGCCGTCCCCAGGTAGCCTGGCTTGATGGTCATTGTGCTGGAAACTCTGCAGGTCAGCCCCTGTGGAAAGCGACAGGCAGATCAGCAAACCTCAGGAGGAAGCATGAAGTCATGGGAAAAAAGAAGGATTCAGTCATGCAGTCCTTGGCACCGCCTGAGTGGGCTCACATCTGGAGGCTACTTCCCACCTCATACCCCGGCTCACCCCTTTTCCTGGAACCCCAATCCCAGGGCCCGTACTAAATATTTGTTCAGAAAGCAACAGAAGAGGAACCAACAACTGCATTATAAAAATACGGTTAGGAGGAGTAAGTCCTAGTGTTCTATACATGGCAGGGCAGCCGCCACTGACACTAATTTACTGCACATCAAAGTAGCTAGAAGAAAGAATTTTCCCAGCGTGAGGGAATGAGAAATGCTAAAGACAATGGATACGTCAAAACCCCGATCTTGACACTTTGTGTGGATGATTTCAAACATCACACTGTACCCTATAAGTGTGTGTGATCATTATGAATATTAAGTGTCTGTTAAAGTTTGTAAATAGATGTAACTACTGGTCAGCAGTGTGTAAGGCCTAAAAGATGCTTCTTAAATTGTGTCCCGAGGGCCAATTCTGTTGAATCCCCAGATGGGCCCTGCTGGAGTCCAGCACACCTCCCCGCCCCACCGTGGCTGCAGTGCTCGCTGGGGCACACTCGCCACACCCCACTGTCCTCAGCCATGTTTGCAAAGCTCTTCTGACTGTCCCACCTCATAGCCCTGCCATCAGCAGCAGCTCTGCTAGGAGAGCCCCAAGTGCAGGAGGCTGTCAGGTTAGGGAGCAGAGAGAAGGAGGCCGGAGAGTTGGGAACTCACGTGAGCGGTACCAGGAAAGCGGGAGACGGTGGAGTCTACCTGGCGCGCTTGATAAGGAGTAAAGTACAGGGCACTGCGAACCCAGCATGAACTCGGGTCCCCCAAGAGTTCCAAGAGGACAGCTGGGCAGGGAGGAAAGGCTCCACTGGGCTCTTCTCTCTACTCCTAGCTTCAGTCTGAGCTGCTGAGTACAGTCCCTGGCATGACCGGTCACCTCAGGTGTCGTGACGCTGGCACAGAGGACTTTCCTGACCCCACATCTGAATCGCCAGCTTCCTTGGTTTGAATACACTTGTCCCCGCTGAAACTCATGTGGAAGTTTGATTGTCCTTGTGGTGGTGTGGAGCAGTGGAGCCTTGAAGAGGCGATTACGTCAGGAAGAGGGATTAAGGTCACTCTAGTGGGAAGGAGTTCTTGTTTTCTCAGAGCTGGATCAGTTACCACGAAAATGAGCCATTAGAAAGCAAGGCTCCCCTGTGTCCTGCCTCTTTCCCCTCTTCTTTCCACCGTGAGTTGAAGCAGTGTAAGTCTGGCATTAGGTGTAGCCACCCAGTTGTGATCAGGTGTAGAATTTCCAGCCTGCACAGTCATGGGTCAAATTAGACCACTTTTCCTCATAAATGACTCATCCTTGGCTATTCTAGTCTACAAACAGGAAATGGAGTAAGACCCCAGCCCCTTCCCCTACTTCACTTGCTTGACTATTTCCATAGCTCTTTCTACCACCTGCCAGGTCATCTGTTTCTTAATTTATTGGGTTTTTTTTTTCCTTCTAATGCAATGCAGTTTCCACAAAGGAAGGAGCTTTGCCATGTTTTGTTCCCATAGTAGATGCTCAATAAATGCTTATCCAATATGTGAATGACAAAAAGTGACTAACATGCTTATCATCCAAATGACCTCCCACCAGGTGTGCCCGGCCCGCAGTTCCCAAGGAACAGATACCGTCTCTGTCTGGCCGTAGAATTCTCGGATGTCCACTCCTGTCTGGGCCTTCCAGTTCTGCAGAGTGTCTGGAAGCAGGGTTTCCCCTCCAGTGAAGCAGTGCTTTAGGTGGGGGAATTTATAACTGGAGAAGAGAGACAGAGGTGTTATGCCTCAGCCTGCCAGGAACCAAAGGCTTCCTAGGGCTGGAGCTGGGTTCTGGGCGCTTTGAGGGGGGAGCTGGCCTCCTAGGACATTCATGTTCAGAGGGTCAGACAAACGTGATGTCTGTATGTGAGGGAGGCCTGGGGTGGGCCTAGTGGCTCCTACCCACCCCCCAGCCTCATCACCTGGAAAGGTCCTGTTGTAGCAACATCCGGTAAACAAGGGGGGCACCCACCATGCTGTTGATGGGATAGCTGGACAGCACCTGGAGGGACAGAGACAGGTGAGACACCGGTCACCGGGGCAGGTGCCCAACTTACCTGTAGGTACAGTGGGTACAGTCATGAGCCATGGGGGTACTGAGGTCCAGATTGGAATCGTAGATTTCTTCTGCATTGATTGGAGTCTAAATGAACCTTACAATTCCCACACAACCTCAGGACACAATTAACAGAGAAACCAATACCTATCATTAAAGCAAAATGGGCTAGGACTAATTTGGAACCTTTCAGTGAAATCCCAGTTGACTGCGCATGTGACTTGCTGTCATAGACACGTCCCTCCAGTCATCAAGGGAGTAGCAGATGCTCATACAAATTAGCTCCATGATCTTGGCCAACTTGTGAACCTTCCGGAAAAAGTACCCCCTTTCCGCCAACTCTTAGGTACTGGGAATTGAACCCAGGACCTTCACACTGAGCCACATCCCAGTACTTTTGCTTTATTGTATTTATTTATTTTTTGGTACATCTTTGCAGTATATGACGATTACATTACATGTGGGGGGTTGGTACATGTACATAACCCATCTTACTGCTTTTTATTTTGAGACTTACTAAGTTGCCCAGGGTGGGCTCAAACTTGCAGTCTTCCTGCCGTCTCAAAGGGTGGGATTCCAAGCCTGTGTCTCCAGGCCTGGCTTGCAATCAGCTTTATAATAGAGTATCTCCAGCTGTAATATTTCTGGGGGAGAACTGAGGCAAAAAGGGCTTTGGGGAGTTAAAAGTATGTATAGACATTTCAAAAGAAATGCTACAGAAAAGGACTGCAATGGAGCACTTGCCACGCCCTGTATTACGTCAGTGAATTCCCACGGTAACCTACTAATGATTGTATTACCATCGCAATTTTATGGAGGGAAAACTGTGACTTGAGAGTTCAGTAACTTGTTCGAGGTCACATAGCCAGCAGGTGGCAGAATCAATATTTGCAGTGTGTCCCCACCACACTCATGCCAGGGTGTGCTTTCTGCCAGAGTCCAATAGAGTGGTTTCAGCAAAATGCCTACAAAAAACATCGACACAAGACCACTGTGTGGCCATCTCCTTCGAGGGAGCTCGGTGAGCTAGCCTGACCTCTGAAAATCACCCGATACCCTCCATCACTTTGCCCTACAGGAAGCTCAACTCGCAATTACCTTCTTACCTGCTGAACTTCTCACTCTCCTTGGTCATTTTCTCCCACACCACCAGTCTGTCTTTTATGAACGGACTTTATAATTTTTTCAGTTGTTTCCATCTTTTGTTTTGTTTATAAAGCTTTGTGCTTGGTTTTTGCTTACATTTTGTTTGTGGAACTCAACAAAAGCCAGTTTAATTCTTTTGGGAAAGTAGCAGAGCGTAACAGTATCATTTGAAGGGACTCTCCTGAGAGATCCCAGACCATGCCCAACTTTTTGACTTCGGGCCTGTGTTGCAGCCAAATGGAGATGTACCTGGGCCATCCACTGCCACAGAGATCTGTGGGCCCAGGAAGGTGATGGCCCAACCCCTCGCCATAACTGGAGTCTGATGTGGGTTGCATCTTGCAAGCAGAACGAGGCCATTTTTATTGCTTGTTACTCCACAGGAGTGAAGAGCTACAGTTTGTGGATTACACTTAAGAGGAAAAAAGTGCTCTGTGTCTTTCAGAATTCATCCTAGAGAGCAGCCCCCAACGGAAGGTCACCCAATGCCTATCTGTGATAGGATGAGAAAGAAACAGATGGATTGCTAAAATGGAGTACTACACAGCAATGAGAAGGAGCAAACTTCCAACAATGCAACAGTACAGACTAATCTCACACAGTGCATGAGAGAAGCTGGTCACATAAACGTATGGTCCAATTCAATTTAAATAAAGCTCAAGGAAAGCACAAGCAGGCGAAGCATTCTCTGTACTGACAGCGGCTCCCCTCACTTGCATCACTGCCTGAGCTCTGCCTCCTCCAGGTCCACGGCCCTGGATTCTCATAGGTGCACGGACCCTAATGTGAAGTGCGCATGCGGGGATCTAGGTTGTTTGCTCCTTCGGATCATCCTGAAATTACCCCACCTCCATCCTTCTTTCCGTCCCGTGGAACAACTCTTCCATGAAATGTTCCTGGTGCCAAGAAGGTAGGGGACCACCGATTCAAGGTGCTCGGACTATGGGATTTTATCGATGCAGCCAAGCTAACCTAGGTAAATGGTTTTCAGGCCATACGTTTGGGATGAAGGCACTATGCGCATTTTACCTTCAGCTTGTGAAGTAAGACCTCGACTTAAGAACGAGTTCCATTCTGGGGGAACATCTGTAAGTTGGATTCATTTGTAAGTCGGACAAAGTGAGTCTTAAAGACTTTTGACCCAAATATACAATGTATATTGCTTTGTGCTTCCTAGCAGTCCCCTCCACGTCACCACTGCTTTTCCTCCTGCTTCCACATACCTGGGCTCTGACTGAGCGCTGTCCTACTGTGCACTATCGCTGTCCTACTGTGCACTGTCGCACTGCACAGGGAGCACAGGGCAGCCCCGCGGTGACAGTGGCCGGCAGACACGGGAGCTACATCTACAGATGTTCATAACGCAAGGCCCATTTGTATCTGTGAAAGTCTGCAACTCGGATGTTCAAGTCAGGGACTTACTTTATATTATTCTGCAAATAAAAAAGGAACCATCAATACACGCACACAGGAGAGGGAGACGGCATCGCCTCTGATATTCGAGCCCTCCCTTTTGCATGTGGCTTGTCTCCACCCATCTGATGTCTGACCTGGGAGGAAGAGCCCACTGAATGTGTGCGGAGAGAACACACGGCCTATACAGCCCATGCCATGAACACACTCCTTTCACGCGCAGATGTGCCTGTCTCCTTTCTGAGACCATGAGCTCCACGACGCTGTGGGCCATTTCTATCTTGTTCACCAACCCCTGCCCACTCATGCGGCTGGGATTTGGCAGAAAGTATACGAAGGGAAGACAACAGCAGTAAATTAGACCATGCACAATTTGGCTTCACACTGACCAGACGATGCTAACTGGGTCTTTTCTTACCTTTAGGATGGTCTGTGGGTCAAACTTTGGCAAGAGATGTATAAATACGCATGCTCCCAAAGCCCAAGGATCCAGAAGCGTGGTCAAAATGTTCACGATCCAGCCTGTGTCTGATATGGTCCAGATTAGGTCAGAGGGTTGCAGGCCTGTCCACGTGCTGGGGGACACAGATGGAACACGTGAGCACACAGGGGAGTGCACACTGGGATGTGGGTGGGTACCTGTGCTTGTATATCAGCAGGAATGGGTGTAAGAGGGAGCAGGCAGGGGAAGAAAGGTGCTCAGTCCATGAATTCTGCACCAGGCAAGACCATGAGTTCAGAGAGCATGACACTAGCAGACACGAGTTAACAGATAATTGGGCCTCATTTCCATTTTATCCCCCAAACTACTATAATATTTGACAGGCAGTAACCACCCAGGAAAAGTTTACTAACACAAGACATCCAGATGAACATTTTTACAAGGGCCTTGCCAACGTCAATTTTGGTTGAGTAAAACTTTGACTCTGTTTTCTCCAAGCATCATGAACTGCCTGTGCAGAGCTGAGCGTTTTGTATAGAGTGAAACTTGTCTTCTTTCTCTCTTCAGAGCAGAATAAGAGGTGTTTGGCAGCTGGTTATGATGGTACATGCTTGTAACCCCAGCACTGTAGCAGGAGGATCCCACGTTTGAGCCTAGCATAGGCAACTTTGCAATTTAGCAAGATTATGTCTCAGAAATAAAGAATAAAAAAAAAAAAGTGTGTCGATGTAGCTCAGTGCTAAGACCCTGAATTGAACCCTCAGTACAAAAAGTAGAGGGTGTATTTGGCCTGTTTTCCTGTCTTAAATCAATAAAGAATTAGGCTGAACACAAAGAATTTCCTTGGGATGGTATGTTATCATAGTATATGTTTTTATTTTTTTTCTGAAAATGAGTAGTAGTTTTAGCTGTATAGAGAATTAGGAATGTTAGTATCAAATCTTGATGGGTGGGTCTAACTTTCACCATGCGCTAAACTAAAATCCAAGTGGATTAAATATCTAAATATTAAAACAGAAACACTAAACTTGTTGGAAGATAAGCTAGATAGAACTCTTGGACACACTGGCATAGGAAAAGACTTTATGAACAAATCCTCAGTAGCACGGGAACTAGCACAAAGAATCAACAACTGGGATCTCATCTTTTTAAAAAGCTTCGGCACTGCAAGAGAAAAGACAAACACAGCTAAGAGATAGCCTACAATGTGGGAAACAATTTTTACCTGCTGTTCCTCAGACAAAGGTCTGCTATCTAGAAAATATAAAGAACTAAAAAAAAAACAACAAAAAAAGTTTCCCCAAATTTTATAAACCCATTTCAAAAATGAAATGAACATCTGAAATGAATAGACATTTCTCAGACAAAGAAGTAAAAGCAGCAAATAAATATATGAAAAATGTTCAACATCATTGGCCATTCAAGAGACGCAGGTAAAAACAACACTGAGATTCCACCTCACCCCAGAAAGAATGGCTGCTATCATGAAATCAACCAATAACAAATGCTGGTGGGACTGTGGGGAGAAAGGAACCCTTCTCCACTGTTGGTGGGAGTGCAGACTGGTGCTACCATTGTGGAAATCCATATGAAAATACCTTAAACCAAGGATTTGATTGGAAGTCCCAGTTGACCAGCTATTTCCCTGCTAGGTATCTTCCCAAAAGAATTGAAAGAATCATATCACAGTGATATATGCTCACCCATGTTCATAGCAGAGCAGTTTGTAATGGAAAAAAACCAACTGCTCATCAACTAAAGACTGGATAAAGAAGATGTGTTTTTCTTTTTAATAAAATGGACTACTACTCAGTCATAAAGAATGAGAAACTAGAGACATTTATAGTTAAGTGGATGCACATTGAGGACATACTCAAGTGAAACTGGTAGCACACATATGTGTAAATATCTTTGGTGTGATAAACTAAAAGTGTAAATAAGGGCCAAAATGTATCACAGATATTTTGTAATAGGAGGAAAAGGTTTAAAGGTGTTGGGCAAATGGGAGGGGTAGGGGAAGGTAAAAAGGGAAGAGAAAAAATAAGAGAAAAAGAAAAAAATGGGAACAAAGTCTTTGTAAATAGGGAAGGGTAGACGGGGGAAGGGAGGCTAGGGAAATGGGGAAAAAATCAGAACCAAGACAAGTCATGTAAAGGTACAAGATCCCAATGATGAATATAACTATTGTATATCTAAAATGTACCAATAAAATATATATTAAAAAATCCTGAGGGGCTGCAATCTCAGTTATATTTAAGTAATTTATCCTACCGTCCTTTAAAAATAGTTTACTACACCTCTCCTATTAAATAATTTATACCAATTTAATTTTGATACTATGGGCTCAGAAAGAACAATCAAGATTTTGTAAAGTTTTTGGCATTAAAATATTTGTCCTGTTCTAATAATAAATTAACATGACAGACAAGACCTACTGAAAAATATCCTGAAGATCCCTAGTTAGATCTTAGTTTACCTAATTCATCCAATTATATCTTTTGTTTCAATGAATCTGCCCAGTAATTTGCATTTGACAAGAATGCCCTCTTAGAATGTGAGTAGAATCAAAGCAAACTGTAAGCACCTCAAAAAATACCTGCTAGATAGGGGCCGGGTATTTAGCTCAGTCATGCCACCTCCTGACTTGTAAGTGCAAGGTCCTGAGTTCTATCCCCAGTATCAAAAAACCAAAACGAAATACAAGGTAGAGATTAGTTTTGGGAAAAGGAATACAATCCATGTTGCTTTTCACCCTTCTAAGCTCAAAACATGGAAGAGACTTTTTTTTTTTTTTTTTTTTTTTTT